CTGTAGATGCATATCTCTCTCTTTTACCTCAGGCCCTTTGAGTTGACACAACACAGGGAAAGTTTGGTGCCTGCATCTCTCTCTAGGATCACCATACTCATAATCAACACAGGCGACCAGCAGTCTAGCACTGCAGACAAAAATTTCATGCCAGGCCCTCAGCTGACAGGAAGAAGGGATCAGGCAGTATTGGGCAACTCCCAGAGAATGTCTACCTTTCATACCCAACCATGTGCCCAGAGGTCAGTTTTGGAGATCCACACAGCTTTTCTCTGTGCCATTTTTTCTATCTTCCACAGCCTACAGTGATCTTCGTCCTGTGAATTCTTATAAAGCCAGAGTCCTGTGATTTGTCCTGTCTAGATGATAGTTATATATTCTGCCATTTATGTTTACTTAGCTTTAGTAGTTTATTCTTATATACCCACAAAGGTTAAAAACTCCTTCAAGGTGACAAGAGCACCTTATATTAATTTGTAGTCCCATATTTCAACATTATTCAACAGAGCCTGACATGTGATAGCTGCTAATTGATTATCTGGACTTGTTTGTCACAGTGGACGTAAAGGATAGCAAGCCTTTCTCTTTATTGGAGTATTGATAGAGGTTCAGAAAGTCCTGTAGAAAGCCAAATACCACTGTTCCCTTGAAGGAAGAGATGTGAACAAAGATGGGAGAAATTCAGAATCTAAAAGATAAATGTACCAATGCATCATTTTACCCAAGGTCAGGAACACATTTATGCAACACTTTACAAATGGTAAACTACACACGGTTCTTGTTCTCTCAGTTCCTCTGCCTTTACTTTTCATTATTGGGAGGATATTGCTAATGGAGAAAATAAAAGGAAATAAGCATTGTCAAGAGTCACTTAAAATAGAATCAGGAGCATATTAAGGAAGTGAGGCCTATGCGCATCTAGTGAATCATTTCCAAAAGCTCTATTACTAAACCTGTTGCTAAACTCAGCTCAAAATGTCCTGGGACCATAAATATCATGGAGTCATAAACACTCTAGAACAACAAGCTCTACATGGACATATACGGACTTTTCTTCCCTCCTTATAGGTTTCAGGTCCCTCATGTACATATTGGAACTAATCAATCCCTGTTAACCTAGACAACAAGGCTTCATTTGCATGCAAGAATCACATTGAATGACTTTGGCCTTTATAAACCTTGCTTTCCTTGTTCTGTCCAGAGCACAGTTTGAGTTGCTACCTGAATATGAGTTTCTCAGATTGCAGTCCTTTGCTCAAATAAATACTTTTTCAATAGTCTATACCTTTCGGAGGGTGGGGTGTTTAACAATATGTATACACCTACATTGCCTGGACCAGGCATGTCGCTTCACACTGCTGTCTTCTGTGGCCATAATATCCCGAACCTTTGTTTTCCCCTTAGGGTTTTACTTGAGTTCACTTTGCCTTGCAAACATCAATCTGACACCAGAAAGGAGTGTGATTAGCAAATATAACATAGGAAACAAGAGGCATTATTGATGATTCCAGTAGGAAAAAAAGAGAGCCCGCATAAGAATTAATTTTAACACAGTAATAGAGCTTACATATGAAGCTCCACTATCTAATGAGACCCACCCAGAAAGGAAAATGCCCCTCTACCTTTAACTGAATGACAAACCCCAAACAGTTATTTCTTTTGAATCTGAGAGAGGCCATTTCCTTCTGGCTGGACATTGTGGGGAAGACAAAGGAAGGGCCTCAGGACTGTCCACTACTTTGAAAAGGCAGGATGGGCCCCTGTTGCTTTGACCAGAGGCTGCATTTCTTTTCTGCATGCCCCCTGCCTCATTCATTTTAATTAGGCAGGTGCCTAGGTCTTATCTGTAGGTGGAAGTGAGGGACAATGCATGGTTTCATGGCTAACCAATGAGATGTGACCTCCTTTTGCCAGAGACCGGGTTTTTTACAAACAAAAATCACTCATTTAGAATGAGTTTCAGTGCTAAAAACTAAATTTATTTCTCTAAGAATCAGATCCCTGATCTGTATAGCAGGATCTTCTACTGGTAATTATATTCTTTGACTTCTATTTTTTTAATTTTTATTTATTGATTCGAGAGAGAGGGAGAAATGGAGCAGAGAGAGAGAGAAAGAGAGAGATTTGTTATTCCACATATTTATGCATTCAATGGTTGCTTCTCGTATGTGCCCTGATCAGAGATTGAACCCACAACCTTGGCCTATCAGGACGACGCTCTATCCAACTGAGCTACCCAGCCAGGGCCTTTGACTTCAATTTTAAAATTATATTAATAAATACAAGTAGACATTGATTCTGATTAAAATAAAGATGCATGTGTTGCTGATATCAGTTTATTGTAGCATTACCATTATTAAAGTCCGTTATTGTCACAGGGAAGAGTGAAAGCCAATTTTGATGCATGTATACTTTACCTTAATATAAATACTTCCGAAAAAAGCATCAGTCAGGGTCTCTTTTCTGCTATGCAGCTCCTTTGCACATATTCCAAATTTCTTGATTGCCTTGGCAATTACAGTTCAATTGGATGCTCATTCCCTGTTCCTGTATAAATCCTCCAAAACAGGAAAAACAAATGTCCAAAACCTATTGCCATACAGTTCTGTGAAAGACACAAATAACTGGAAGTCTCAAAACTTCAAATGGAATGCTTGCTGTCCAAGGCATAATTTGGATGAGCAAATTTTGGACGAGTTATTTTAAATATATTATAGGATTTGTTCTGAAGATTTAGGAAGACATATACAGGAGCGTGTTTTCAAATAGTTCTACTTAAATTATTGTTAGAAAAAGAACTGAATTTTCAAATGAGTAATTGTTGGATGGGAGAAGTCTACCTTATTTTCTCCACCATAGCCCCTTCTGAGTGTTACATATGCATAGATAGGTCATCCACTGAGTTCCCAAAGTTCTTATAGTTCTTCTGTTGTAACAGGATATAATCATGCCTATTCTCAGTTAGGTTTGAGAAAAAGATACCAAGTGCAGGCTTTGTTCAGTTTAACAAACAATAAAATGGCTTCAAGTGATAGAGTTAGCTGTCTTTTCATCTTAATTTTAAACATAGGTGAACTTTTCATTGGCAACTTTTGCAACACGGCTCTCAAAACAGTAATGCAAACATTCAAAAGGTACAGTTGAAGGGAGAGGGCAATAAGAATAAATAACTGTGAAATTGCTGGAAAACAAAACTGTTACTCATCAGAAAATTAGAGGCTAGATCACACCATAACAAACTTCTTGATCCCAGTCAGGTCATTTGGATGGAAATTTACACTCTAACGGAGCACCGAAATACCTTCCCTTCTAGGGCAGTAATGATTATAACCGATTTCTCACCAGGAGTGGCGAGGCTGAAAGAGTAACTTCTGGGAGCAGTGGGTAGAGAGAAAGCTTGGAGTGCTCCGCGAATTCAAAGAGGAAGAGGCCGGTTTTCCGTAGAGTTGTGGCAAGAAACATTCCGGCCAGGGAGCAAATGTTAACCTTGTACAAGCCTCTCAGGGACTGCCCAGGGAAGAGCACCCCTAGCTAGGCCTTTAGGGCCCACAATATTTGAGGTAACAGCCTCTGAGAGAGCAGATAATGCTAAATCTATCGGGACCCGTTCTATTGAAAGCCTCTAATTCCTTGTTGGAAACCAAGGTCCTGGTAACTTTGTGTCCTGGACGTCCCACAGAACAAATCCTGTGTAATGTTAGGACACGCTACACAGAGCTCTTCCCCTACCCGAAAAGGCCGAGGGGGTGAATTAGGAGGAAAGAGTCAGCATCCTTTGGATAAAATTACCCTTTTAGATGCCTCGAAGAGTACCAGCTGGAGCCCCAGCTCGCACACTGAGGCACCCTCCCTTTTCGATACCGGACAACGACACCCCTTGGGCCTTCCGGGTCTTTCGGGTCCCGAGAGCCCTGAAGGACTCACTTCGGGAGGAATTGGCAAACCCAGACTGTGGTCCGGCGGCGCTTCAGCGCGTCCGGAGACGTAGGCCGAAGAATGGTCCCAGTCCCGATCAGTCCGCGGGGCGCGCACAGTGCTCGCGCCAGACTGCAGGTGCCTGTCGTCCCCAGCGCGCACCCAGTGGCCGGCGGGCGCCTCTCGCAGATGGTAGGCGGTGAAACCCGCACGTGTAGACCCGCCAGCAGACAAACAGAAGTCAGCTCTCCCAACCCGTTGAGTGTCAGTTTCTTTGGTGAGTGCTGACGCCAAAACAAGCGCGAACAAAACCATCCCGCTCTCTCCCACTGGCCCAGCCGTGTACTTACGAGTTCACCATAAGAGACAGCTTTTGGCCGCTTGTTTTGAATCCACGAAAACAACACACGGGCCGTGTTCTGGAGGTTACAGTGCGAGTTTACACGGAGAGGTTGTGGCTACCGGCGACACCACAGCCGCAGGGAAAAGTCGCTTTTCCCGACTAGTAAATAGTGTACAGGGACTAGTGAGTACTTAAAGGGAAACCGGGAAAGGAAAGAAGGTTTGTCACCGAAAAAGAAAGTAAACGTTTTCAGGACAAAAGAGCCAGGAATGGGGCGGGGGTAGGAACGGAGCAGAGTCCTGAACCTTAAGTCCAAATTCTAGCAGTGGAGTGAGCAGGTGGGAGCCATTAGTGGGCACGGCGACTGACTGTACAGTTTATTTTTCTGTGTGGATGTTTTGCCCTGAAAGGCTGAGTCTTAAACTTCCGCTGCGAAAATTTACGTAGCATAAACGGGAAGAGGCCATTGCTGGGACAAAACTAATTCTGAGGCTAAAGTCAGAGCCAAGCTCGCTTCTTACGGACCCGGGAAATTTCCCGTGTCCCCTGCCCGGCCGCTGGCGCGTCTTTGCACGGAGCGCCCTTCCTCCGAGCAAGGGAGATGGAAACGAGGTCTGGAAGCCGCGGGGAGAGCAGCTGAGAAAGTTAGAGTCAAAGTATTAAGTTATCAGAGGTTGATTCCAGAGGGCTGAGGGAGGCTAAGTGGACGGGGCGGGCCTACTCCCCGACTGCTTCTCCACCATCACTGGCGGCAGAACTTGCACTTGATGATTTTCTTAAAGGCATTTTGGAAGTCCTTGTTGAAGTAGGCGTAAATGACAGGGTTGAGCAGAGAGTTGGAGTAGCCCAACCAGTTGATTATGGCGCCCAACAGGGTGGGCATGTGACAGCTGTTCTCGCAGAAGGGTAGAACCAGGGCCACGATGAAGAAAGGCAGCCAGCAGAGGATGAAGGTGCCCATAATGATGCCCAGCGTCTTCACCGTCTTCCTCTCGCGAGCCAGGGCCATTTTGCGCTTGGCCTCAGCGTTGCGCTCATTTTTCTTCTCGAAGGAGGCAGAGACACATGTGACGGCACCCGTCTCGCTGGGCAGCGGCAGGTGCTCTTTGGAGTTGCCCATCCGGTGCACTTCGATCACCTCCAGGGCTGTGCGGTCGCCTCCCTGTCTCACCGCTCCATTGGTGCACAGAATTCCCCCTGCCCTATTCCCCATGCACTGTCTCCATTCTCTATTCTCAGGCTCTCCATTTACGCTCTTCTTGGGCTGAGGGGCCGGTGACGCCCCGAGGGTGGTGTCCGCTCTCTTCTTCTCCACCTTCTTAACTGTCTTGCGGATGCGGAAGCGCGCGGCTCGGAAGATGCGCCCGTAGAGAACTAGCATGAGAAGCAGGGGGATGTAGAAAGCGCCGAAGGTGGAATAGATAGTGTAGCCGTGGTCCTTGCTGATGGTGCACGCGTCGGGGTCCGAGCGGTCTTCCGGGGTGCGCCAGCCCAGCATGGGCGGGATGGAGATGAGGAAGCCAATGAGCCAAGTGAGCGAGATGAGCGCAGCGGCGCGCCGGGGCGTCCTCTTGTTCACGTAGTCGATGGGGTCCGTGATGGCCCAGTACCTGTCCAGCGCGATGGCGCACAGGTGCAGGATGGAGGAGGTGCAGCACAACACGTCGAGGGCAATGAACAGGTCACAAGTGACCTGTCCCAGCGTCCACTTGTTGAGCACCTGGTACAGCGCGGCCATGGGCAGCACCAGCACCGACACCATGAGGTCGGTGACTGCCAGCGAGCCGATGAGATAGTTAGCCACGTTCTGCAGGGAGCGCTCCAGGGCAATGGCGGCCACCACGCACGCATTGCCCAGCACAGCACATAAGATAAGAGTGCCCAGCAGCAGAGAGGTGACCACTTGGTAACTGAAGGTAACGTCGGAGATGCCAGTAGCGTTGCCGCTTGTCCCGAAGGGACCTTCGGAGGACGTGGTGTTATTGCCCTGTACCGGGCTGAGCACATCCATGCCTGCGCGCTCGGCGGGGGAGGGGGAGGGGAGGAAAAGCTGCACAAAGATCCCCTCGCCCCTCCCCCTGGGGTCTGCCGCCCCTCTCTTCAGGGAGTTTCAGGGGGAGGGGATGCAGGGACTCAAGCAGGAAGTTCTTACTGCTCAGGCGAAGGCAACTCCGAGGAGCAGCTTCTAGGCGCACCGCGGGCTCCCTTGGTCCTGCGTGTTCAGGAACTCTAGCCGAGGAACGAGTTGGCCGGAGAAAAGCTCCGGGATCTCTGGGCGACAGAGAGGTGGCTGGTACGCCTGTCTCTCGCTGTTCATTTTACCTTGCCGCTGCCCAACTGTCTGCCGGAGCCGGAGTCTACCTACTAGCAAACAGCCTCCAATCCTAGAAGTATCTGGAATATTGAAACCCCATCCTCCATGGTCATTCTGTGACTCTCTTCTCTCTTTGCTTTTCTCCCTCCCTCTCTCTTCTCTTTCTCTTAAGCCTCCTCCTTCCACTTCCCTTCTCCCCACTAGCCTTCCCTTTTGGTCTCCCTCTCCCTTCTCACACCCTTTCTTTATTCCTCTGTGTCGCTCAGACAGCCAGTCTCCCTCCCTCCCACGCTAACCCTCCCCTCCTAACACTTCCTCAACCCTGAGTGTATCTTTCCCGTGGGTCCCCGCCCTCCTCTGCCTCTAGCTCAGCGTCCTAGCGTTCAAGCCCCTTTTGTCCAAACACTTAGAACTGCTTACATGCGCTCGATCTCCCGGTCAGACCAACATTGCAACAAATACCTTTGCCTCCCACCTCGCCAAACTCGAGGGAAAAATTCTAACTACCCATTGCTTTATATTTCTGTCCAATTCTTAAGTGGAGTCAGCAGCACAGAGTGGCAATAGGAAACAATCAGAGGAGGCACCCGGAGTCTGAACAGGGAAGTGGACAGACAGCCCTGGGTCAGTCTGTCAGTTATCGGAATGTGGGTGTCTCAGCTTTTTAAAAACCACCCTTCTCCCCTGTTGTCTTTTTACATTTAAGTCTCTTGGGGAAGACGTTGCCTGTGGCTTTTTTTAACTTTGGAAAATTGGGGAAGAAAGAATTAGAAATGACTTGTAAAAAGACAGGTAAACAGCTGCAGCCCAATGAAAACACTCTATTCAGTATGTAGTCTACAAACACGCCTTCCCATCACCATTTCCCTTTTAAATTCAGTGAGCATTGCCATCTCCCATAGCTTTGTTGTGAGTGGATTTAGGGAAGGGAATTTTTTTTTCTTGCTAATGTATTGTAAATGAGGTTGGACTTTTTACGTGGCTTTTTGCTTTTCTTACGAGAGCCTGCAAATCTCTAAGGGAGAACTTAGTGGAATCCCTGGTTGCTGCCCTCTGAGTGTCTCTTAAACTCTGAAACTGGGTTCAGCACCTGGGACAGCTCTAGGCAATAAGGGCTTATGCCGCCACCTTCCGGCAAATGCTTTAGAGCGCCATCTAGAAACATGTCTTGCAAAAAATAAGCAGATAGTAGGAAATCCCATAATTTAAGAAAGTTAGAAAAAGGGCTCTGGCAGGATAGCTCAGTTGGTTAGAGCTTTGTTCCAAGACGCCAAGGTTGCGGTTCGATCCCCGCTCAAGGCATATACAAGAAGCAACCAACGAATGCATAAATAAGTGGAATAACAAATCAATGTCCCTCTAAAATAAGAAAAATACATATATGGATTATTTTAAAAAGAAAGAAAAAGACGGTTATTAAAATAAGAGTAACATTGAGTTATGTATTTTTCTCCTATTCCCTTCAAAAATTTATTTTCATGTCCTCTTTTGCTCTTAATCATGTATATACCAAGCTTATATTTTCTAGCTCTTTCTGAAAGCCTGCAGCATCTGTCATTCACAAATTCTCTCTAGGAATATGGTTTTAATAGAGCTAGGCAAACCTTTTCACACCTTCATCTGTGTTGGTTTTGTGCTGACAAAGGCTGCACTTTGAAACTCACACATTTGCACAATTTCGCCAAAGCTGGAGAAAACAATATTGGATTTTCCAAGTGGGGATGACTTCATGTAGAAAATAAAGAGGCTGCTATTGGTTGGTTCTAAGCTGTTTCCTTTTCCAAAGAAACCAAATTTAATCCCCCTTGAACACAGGTAAAGAATGAGATCCGTGAGCCTTAGAATACATATATAATATAACAAATTCACTTATACATCCTGATTGCATGACTGAAGTAAAGGAAAAGCACAGAATGCAATCCCGAAAGCAGATGACTCTGGACAACATGCACAGATTCACTCCAGACAGCAATAGTCTTAACATTGTGCTCAAATTTGAGCTCTGAATTTCATAGCTTTGAATTCTTCCAGACCAAACAAAAGAGCAATCACCAAAACATCAAATAAAATGTAGTTGGGCTGAGGCATACAGTACAAGGCAATGTGTTTGAAAATGAATTGTTTTACAGTGCAGTGCTGGGCACAGTTCCCACTTAATCACTTCAGCGTGTCTCAGTAATGAACCTGACAGTTTTAATGATTCATGGCATAGAAGAAAACAGAGATGAGTATATGTGGTGATTCTGGCTACAGACTCCAAAGAAGTCTTCTAAAAGCCTGAGAAATTTTTGATTCTTCCTTTAAAAATTTCCCAACATATGCAGAACTAAATAGCTTTGTTAAAAGTTGCAGGTCCAAAAATTATAAGAGGATAATAATTAAAATCTGGATTCTCCAAAGATAAAACTTTGGAAATATAGTTGATAAATATAAACAAAGAGTAAAATAAATTTAAGTTTTAAAAAGTAAATATATACATATCTATATGTGTACATATACCTATTTAAATAAGAAATATATATACAAGGACATACTTGAGTAGGAATTGTATCAAATTTAGTATATATAAATAAATATATGTTAGTCAGCAATTAAGCATTTTTCTACTGGATCCCAAATGGCTTAATAACTGAAAATTTTATTTTTTTAAAGTGGCTAAAATGCTATAAATCTGAAGTTAATATTCATGAGGTCTGGCATTTGCTTTTCTGCTTTAATATTCTACAATGTAGCATTTTTATTCAAGTTGACAATTCTCAAGTAGTTCATGTTTTCCTTCAAAATAATGTACATAAAATTTCAAAAATTTCATTTCTTAAAATTTCTAACAAGTTTTTTAGGCATTGTGATGAACACTAGGAAGAAAGCAGAAGTTCCCAAGGGCATGCAGCGCTGACCATGCTTCCATCGCTTTCAAGTGACAAATAACTATGTATAACTTTTATTGACTGATACTATGATATATATTAAAAACAGAATGTTGTTGCATTTCTTCATGTTCACACTTTGCCAAGTCTCCTATGTTCAACCCTTAAAGATAAAAAAAAGACACACAAACAATGGTGCAAACTAAAGATCCTGGATAAAGAGTTAGGCTCTGGCTCTTTAAAGCCTCTGAAATTAGCCTAAAGTAAAGCTCGCCTGAAAGCAGATGTTATTGATGACATCATTTGACAACAAAGCTTCCAGTCATTCTGCTTTTATTTCTTGTTTGAATTTATTAGAGGCAGGTATGAATTTGTCAGTTATGGATCAAGAGTATGACATATCGTCTATCATATAAGTGTTTTCTAAAGTAGTTTATTGGACATAAAGATTTTTAACATTTTTACAAGAAATTAGATATAAGACCAGTATTTCAGTGTAGTTATTTGACCAGGGACATACAACAAAAGATATTAGGCTGAAGTTTTACTGAATGGTCTATCATTACTGAAGGCTCAGTCATGATTGGGGTTTCTCAGTAATGGATATGCTTATCCATAATCCCGAAATTATGACTGGTTTTTTTTAATTAATGAGTCAGTAACCTATATAGTAAAGAGTTGAAATTTTACTTAGGAGATTACAAAGGTGACTTAAAAGCTCCTATTTGAAAAGTTTTTATTTTTTGTTCAAGCACTTGGAATAAACTAAAAATACTATACTGAATATAGTTCTCCTCAATTCTCAAATACTTTAGCAATAGGGCAATTGTAGTTTTACCAGCACTGTGAATTTTTACTGGAATTCACCAGGAAAAGAAACTTCAAAGAGAAATGTTTGCTCAGATAATTTAGGAAATTCAGTCCTCTGATTATCAGTGAGAATTAATAGGTCATATATAGGAAATGCAGTCAAAATGCCAGAGAATAAATTCCTTTAAAACTGGATATAACTTTTTTTGAGTGTGTAATCCTTACTATCCACTTTCCTCTGGAGACGGCATTCCTTCACTGCTATTTCTACACCGTCGGGCACTTCTCAGAGGCTCAGAACTGGGTTTTCAGTGGGAAAACACAATGAAAGCCTCAGTCTCTGCTCCTGAGAACATTAATATGTAATGTTAGCGAATGTAATGTTAGCTTGGTTCATTTAACACATACACTAAAAACACAGAAAGTAAAAGCAATGTAGCATGTATTTACTAGGTGTGTGACCTTGGGCAAGTTATAATATTTAACCCTTTTGTTTTTGCAGTAATAGAATTGGTGTAATAATAGACTTGTGGAGATTAAATGATTTAATATGCTGCTGGCCCAGAGTTAACACCCAATAAAGGTTAAGTAATAATAGCAATAGTGATGCTAAGTAATAATATTCTCTCTCTACCCTTGATTTCTGAGAAATATGGAAAAGGAATTAATTGGGCTTAGTAAAAGAACAAGAAACTGAAAAGAAAAAAGTAAGGCCCTTTCAGGTGAGGATTTATTATGCAAACAATTTGCAGGTGAATGTGGCAGTCTCCCTGTTCCTTAAAGTATTGAGTTGACCAAAAAGTCCATTTAGTTTTTTCCATAAAATAAAAGACACATTTTCCATTTTCACCAATAACTTTATTGATTTGGGTATTTTGAATATGCCAGCTACCTCCTGCATGGTATAATGTTGATTGTTCTCAGTTAATGTTGCAACTTTATCGTTATCAACTTTGGCTGGTCTCTCTGTTTGTGGAGCGTCCTCAAGCAAGAAATCTCCAGCATGAAACTTAGCAAGCC